AACAGTCAAATGTTACGCGTTTTCAGTTGGCTTCAGCACTGTTGGCCATCCCCGCTCGCAGTCTTCAGTCTCCTCCGATGCGGGTCGGCTTGTCACATCCCGCTTCAGATCCGCCCGAACCCGAACCCGAACCGGCCGGGTCGGGGCGGAGCTGCGTACCCGCCTCGGCACCATCCCCATCCCCACCGTCCAGTTAGGACGTTGCCTTCAGTTCGTTGCGAGCGACCCGATGTGTTTAAACAGGGCTTTCACCCCTTTCATGCTTTTACCACTCCTTTTCCAGTCTTTCCAGTCGTTTTGCAGCGATCAGCGCCCCGTGAATGGCGCTCTCTGGAGTTCCTGTTAGTGTGATGCATCTGTCGGAGAGTGCGTACATACAGTACATGAGTCCGAGCAGCACTTCCCGCGTCCCCCTCGGTCAGTGTGACTGTTCAAACAGTTCATTTCCCAGCATGTTAAAAGCGTTGAATTAAAGGTCCAAAATACCTGTATATTAACGTAATTGTGTATGAGATTTGCGATCTGTATCTGGATATCTAATGGTACTACACTGCTTGTAGACACGCCTTTCAACGTGCCTTTGCCTTTTGATTTTGTTAGTGTTGATATATTTTAAGTTTCCTTAATTATTAAGTTTCCTTGATTGTTGAATGCATCCATCCTTGTCTTTTCCCCATCCCAGAAAATACTGGCTTGTGCTTATGCTCCTTATTACCTTTATCAACGTCTTAATTATTCCGCTTGGAGTCAGCTTCTTCACGGAAGAAGTGCAGAGCAGCGCTGCGTGGATCGCCTTCAATGTCATTTCGGACGTCATATTCATCTCGGATCTCAGTTTAAATTTCTGCATCGGCTATACAAGTGACGATGCAGATGTAAGTTGTTGTTTTTTTTTTTGTGAGGCGCAATGAAAGTTGGACTTTTCTGTTTTAAAAATGAAGGTGCTCGTTTTTGTGTTCGTTAAGTAAGGCTCTCCTGGAAGATACAGTCGAAATTGCATTCAAGTGCCTTACAGGTAATGCAGTGCGCATGCAAACCTAAACTGCAAGCCAGTTTATAAGCTAAAAGGACGTAAAACAGGATCAAATGATGCTATGTGGATTTGGCCCTGCTGTGCATACTGCGTGTATACTAACACAAAATACAGCACTACAAAACGAATTGAGTTGTGGTAAGGAGGAACTGATTTTCAGGTGGTTGGATTTAAATCAATATTAGCATATCAAATGAAGATACTCATTTCAGTGCTAAAACAATTAATGCTTGCTGTTGAATTAAATCTCTATTCAATTTATATTTAGATGAATGTAAATATGAAATGCTGGTCAATATCAAAAGTAGTTTCAAGTATACAAATAACTTTGCAAATACGCAAAGCAAAACACATACTACTGTCTACATTTTTATATGAAGCTTTAAATATAACATTAAAAATTGGCTTCTAATGGGAACAAACCTAAACTTAAGAAGCAGTTTTAGATGGTTTCATTTTGATAAAGTACCATCTTATTCTAAATACTTTGCTTTTATCATTTTCAGAATGTTGTGTTGGACAAGAAGATGATCAGAAATCGTTACTTTAAATCGTGGTTCATTCCAGATTTACTTGCAGTAACACCTGTTGATTACTGCTTACTCATTAGCACTGTAAGTATTTATAGTTGTTATTTTCATGTAGGATTCTGAGATTACCAAAACGGAATGAAGTTCATTTAGGTAGTTCTGTTTTCCAAAATACAGTGTGTAATACACAAATATTGTGTTCTTTTATTTTGCAAAGCAGAAAATGCAACACAGTTAAATACACATTTAAAAGGGGGTTTAAACCTTAAACAGGTTTGGACAATTCTGTGACTTTCTGCACTAACACATTTCAACCCAGCCAAGTGAAGAAGTTTTGTAAACTAATGCAACAAAGTGATATCTTTGGGAATTTTAGTCTCCACGGAGCCTCATAAGGCTGATATTTTAGCTGCATTTAGACTTGTCAGTACAAGCTGTCATGACTGAAGACTGACAGTAATTTATGAGAAGAAAAAGCTGGATTCAATGGCACCTGTTGTGACATATCATACCACATCAGATAGTACATTTTAAAGAGATACAGTAACATACTGTTTGTCAAAGTATTCACCCCCTTGGGATGTTTGTACAATTTGATGTGTTGCAAACTCAAACAGAAATGACTTTTTATGGGGTGTTTTGTCACCGATGTATAAAACTTCCCATATAATGTCAACATAGAATGAAAGTTCTGGATACTTTTAACACTTCAGGGAACACTGAAATGTCTTGATTTGATAAGTATTCACTCCCTCTGCTATGATGAAGCAGAAACTCTACCATGAATACCAAGAAACTAGCCGTACAACTCTGTCATAGAATTGTGAGAAGCTGTTAATCTGGGGAGGAGTATGAAAACATATCTGGGGTGTTCAAAGTTTCCTGGAGCACAGTGGGATACAATAGGCAATGGAAAGAATACAAAACCATGCAGGCGCTTCCTAGAGCAGGCTGTCCTTCTAAACGAGAAAGTCCTTGGTCATTCCAACAGGACAGCATCCACAAGCAGACAGCCGGAGGAACACTAGACTGGCTTCAGAATGAGAGGATGAATTTCCTTGAGTGGCCGAGGCCCAGCCGAGGCCCAGACTTGGATCCAACTGGGAGTTTGTGAAAGGAATAGAAGATTGCGGTTTGCTGCATTCAAGAACCTTAATGTACACGTAATGCCGTGCAAAGGCCAGCCCAAAGCTGCAAGCCAGTTTAAAATATCCGCCAATATTTCCCACCCGACGTGGCAGAGTTTGAGCAAATCTGCAGGGAAGGATGGGCAAAAACCTCCTGATCCAGATGTGCAAAGCTGATACAGACAAACCCCAGAGCACTCAAACCTGTCACTGCTGCAAAAGGTGCTTCTATGAGGTTTGACTTAAGGAGGCGAATACTTCAGTGAACAAGATATTTCTGGTTTTCATCATTTTTTCAAATACAATGTGTTGAGTATGTAGTGTGAAAGGAAATAATCAATTTCAATTAAAGATTCTGATGGTCACAACTATTTGCTGTTGTGTCAGGGAGGGTGAATATTTTCTGACTGCACTATAGCTGTGTTTCTTAAATATTAACTTGCACCATTACACACAAACCCAACCTTTTGTTTGTAGCCTTTTTTGTTTATTTTAACATATAATAATAATAACTTACACTTATATAGCACTTTTTTGGACACTGTACCCAAAGCGCTTTACAGGTAATAGGGATCCCCTCCACCACTTCCCCACCTGGATGATGCGACGGCAGCCATAGTGCACCAAAACACTCACCACACATCAGCTATCACTGGGGAGGAGAGCAGAGTGATGAAGCCAATTCATAGATTGGGATTACTAGTAGGCCATAATTGGAAAAGGCCAATGGGAATTTTGGCCCTACTCTTTTCAAGAAACACCTTGGGATTTTTAATGACCACAGAGTCAGGACCTCAGTTTTACATCTCAGGACAGCGCCTGTTTGCAGTATAGGGTCCCCGTCACTATACATTAGGTCCCACATGGACCGCAGGGTGAGCACCCCCCGCTGGCCCCACTAACACCTCTTCCAGCAGCAACCTTAGTCTCCCATCCAGGTACTGACCAGGCTCACACCTGCTGAGCTTCAGTGGGCTGCCAGTTGTGAGTTGCAGGGTAATGTGGCTGCTGGCTTGAGTGGGACACTAAAGGAATTAAGTTCCTTCTGTCCAGTCTAATAAGGCTAGCAGTGCCCTAAATGGTAAAATGGTTAAAAAAATGAATGGTCCTAAAGGCTAAAATAGAAACTCTGGCATACTGCATATAGTATACTGTATATTGAAGGGTCACAGCAGATGATATGTGTTAATGTACTCTACACCAGAAAATTCCATACTTTTCTTGAGAAAAAACTATTTAATGTTATTTAATGTATAGGTTAATATACAATCTGGATTTTCATTGATGTAAATGTTTGCAAAGTTTTATGTTTCTGAAATTAAGCTGTTAGGGATCTCATGATATTAATATTTTGTTGTTTGTAATTTTTCATGATTTCCAACATATATTCAAAAATGTTGTTAAAGTTAGTTATCAAATGTTCTTATATTTTTTGCAACAAAAATTTGATTGACAAGGCATTAAGAATTATTTTTGTACTAGCCTGAAATTAAATGGCTTTTGTTTTGCTTAGTAAGGTTCTGTTTTGAGAATATTTTTACTAAATAAGAGGGTGTATAACAAACGCATTAGATCTGTACATTTTGTAAATCATATTTACTTTAAGCAGTGTTGTGCTTGGATGGTTTTAAAAAGTTTGATTTTTACAATGCTGCTGTTTATAAAACCCTGCTTTTAGATATCTCAGTAGTACACAAGAATACAAAGATCATTAAAATTATTCCAATTTAAATGAATATCTGGGGCACATTTGACCTCTCACCTTATTAACATAAAATATGTCATAGAAAAGAGATGGATTTTTAAATTTTGAGTTAAGGTTTCTAACTGCACGCTATTTTAGAGGTTTTTTTTATGGATTCTTAAAACACCCTTTAAATGCATGATCACATATATGTAATAATCATGTTCTAAACAAGAGGTTTTGCTTAAGGTTCAGTAAAGTTTTTCTTATAGATGTAAGGCAATGCGTATTTATTGGAATTAGAAATTATTTTGCTATGTTTTAAGGCTGCAGGTGCCATTTACACAAAACCAGCTGGATACAGTGGCGTTCGAATGATGCGAATGCTCAAGCTGACAAGGGTATTCAGCTTATTACGTCTGTTCCGCTTTTCAAGACTGCTTCGTTATGCTCGCTACTGGGAAGAGGCAAGTAGCCCCTTTTATCTTTTTAACTTTTTTTGCTGCATAGAAAATGCCAGCCCCTGCATTAAAATAAAGTGCCTGCAAAGGTATTCATACCCTTCCTATGGTGTCCCATTGTATGAAATAGTAAATGGAGGCATTCACATTTTTCATAAATATTTTAATGAAAACTTGAATGCTCAAACCAAAAAGACCACTAAGGGGAAGATAAGTTATAGAAAAGGTCAGCAAAAACTCAAATGAAAAAATGAAATATGTTGGTTGCAGTATGTTGTCTGAAGCAGGATTTTCTCGACAATTTGTCACTTGTACTTGTACTCCATGCACAATATGTTCCCATCAGTCTTGACAATCTCCCCAGGCCTTGCTAATGAGGAACAGGAATAATGCTGCCACTGCTGTGCTTGACAGTATGGAAGGTGTTGACTTTGTGTTGGGTTTGTGTCACATGTAATGCTTTGCATTTACACCAAAAAATAAAATTTTTCCTTATCTGACACCTTTTGCCACATATTTTACGGTACCACATGCGGTAGATGCTTTGTTGCATACCGAACAGGATTTGGCAATTTGTTTTTCAATTGCATAAAATCCAGTCTTGGTGGAGTGACTGGGATATTTTTGACCCATGAACATTTTCTCCCATCTCAGCGACTGAACACTGCCTGCCTCACTGTTGCACATCCATCCAGTTTCCTCCTTGTCTAGCTGCTCAATTGGGATGGAAAGCTGATATAGGCAGTGTCTGGGTGCCTTCCACATCTTCATGATCAACTGTACTTCATTGTATCCAAATCAGTTTTAATATTAATATTAATTTAATACATCCGTGAAACGTTTCTAATGCTCATCTTCTGATATATTCCTTTATGGAATTTTATCCCTAAGTTGTTTTGAAAGCTCTTTGCTCTTAATAGTTGAATTGTTAATTGAAATTCACTAACTGACTGAGGGACCTTATAGAGATGTAATTATTCTGAAATCATATGCACCACTATCATTGCACACAGAGTCCACTCAGCAAATTGTTTGGCTCATTAACATAATGTTGTTCACCTAAATTCATTTAGGTTTGCCACAGCTAAGGACTTGCATACTATTGCAATCATTATTTTACCAGTTTTCTTTTATATTATATATTTGCTCTTGATTCTGTTTTTCACGTGTGGAGTAGATTATGTATATTTAAATAATTAATGCTATTTCAAAGTGTCATGACTACAAAGTTGAAATGTGAAGTCTGCAAGGGTCTGAATATTTTGCAAGGTACTGACTATACCATTCATAGCTTCAAAAACAATTATCAAAGTTGTACTGCAATAAGTTAAAAAAGAACCATGTACGTACAGTACAGTATGTAAGAAATATGCATATCCTGATCAGTAAGTGTTTTTGCTGAAGAGAGTCTACTGTTCTCCTGTCTATCATAGGTCCATGGCTGGAATGTGGGTGGAATAGCTGTAGCTCTGCACTTCAGCTACATGCTTCTGATCATTATTTTGTTGTGTCACTGGAATGCCTGTATTCAGTTCCTGGTTGCTATGCTGATGGAATTCCCTGAGAATAGCTGGGTGACAATTGATGGGCTCGTGGTAAAGTTACACATTTCTTTTTTTCAAAATGTTCAATATGTACAAGTGTTGCAAAAGTATACAAATAGAACGATCAGAACCACTAAGAATTCAAGAGAAAACATGGAAATTGTCAGTTTAAGTGCTGCTTAAGTGTGGGTTGATTTAGAGATAAAATGATTTTGATTATGTTATAGGCTATGCCAATGTAATCTATGGATTTTTAATTAAATCTAATATATAGAAAAAATAAATGAGCTTTTTATGTATATCTTGTGATACAATATATGTTGAACTATTTTCAGTTATTTATTGGAATGCATAATGGACGGAAATATTAAAGGTAATCTTGTAGGATATTTAGAAAGTCTTTATATTTAGGAATTTCTTGAAGTAACAGTGTTAAATAATAAGGAAAATAAATTGTACATATTCAATGAATCCAAGCAGAGGCCATCCACCTGATATTGGACAGAAATGCTTTTTTATGTCAGCCAGTCCATCCATTCACTCACAAACATAGGCTAATGGTTACTTACAGTTGATACTCTCATTTACACATCACTAACTTAAACTGACAATAGTGCAGATATTGCACTTTTCTTCGCGTTTGGCATCCTGCACCTTTCAAACTGAAGTTCATCCCTGTTTATCAGACCTTGTGTTGTCTATCAGGATCAGCACTATCAGTTTATCAGTATGACCAGCCATTGTGGAATAGCACTCACCACTATCAAAACCCTAGATCGGCATTTCTGTAAAACTGCATATCTGAATAAACCAACTGAAGCTTGCACTAGTGGTTTTATGCAGTTCCGTTCAGTCTCTGCTGGGGTTCTGCCAGCCTTGTCCAGCCTGTTTTTTCCTCTGTAGGGCAAATTACGCTAAATAAATTCTTCTGTCTATATGCCACATTAACAAGGATTTAACTGCTTTAAAGATAAGGTTCATATGTAAGGTACATATGACAACATCTTAATGTTGTCATATGTACAGTACATGCACTATGAACACGGTTTTGTTGGGTCTTCACACCTAATGTGACATTACTAAATTTAATATGATTTGACACCAATTTTATTAGATTTACAAAGCATCTGTTGCATAATTTCAGATAGCATGTAGACTGTAGAGAGATTATGGACTTTTGCACTGTATTCAACATACGTAGAGTAGTACTGTAGGTAGACTAGGATCCTAGGTGATGCAAGTAGATACATTTTTATACGTTTTCAAGCCTTCCATCCTGCTATTGTGAAACCAATAATGTGGTTTAAAAATAAAAACAGAAAGATGTGTTCTTTGGACACTTTTTAATTACTGTTTTTTAAAGGTAGATCTATTTTGTTACATGTTCAAACAGGACAAGCCCATCGGCCTGCAGTATTCCAAGGCCATGTTTCGTGCCTTGTGTCACATGATGACTCTTAATTATGGATCTGTTGGAATTCCAAGAGGTAGACGAGCAAACTGTTTAAATATCAGGATTCTTTTCATAGTTTTCTAGTAAACTGGTAAATTTGCATTATAAGGGACATACAGATATACATTTGGTTTGATGGCAAAAATACAAGACTACATATGTTCAGCCTAAATATGTACTATTCTATAACATTCAGGAATTATTTAGGAATTCAATTTAAGCTAATTGCATAAATCACAATTGACAAGTGTACTTTAAAGGATAGTTAAATGATAGGAATTTCATTTTGTCTAAATCTTGTGTAACTGTACATATAATTTCTACATTGTACAGATGTGTGTTTTCATCCTTACTTGGTAATCTATACTGAGTTTAATAAAAATCCTAACATTGCATCATAAAGTGATGAGCTTAAAATTTAATAGTACATACTGTATGTAATTATATATCTTAATCAAAATGAAAAACCTCTAACTTGTCAATCTGAATGCATCCATCCAGATTCCCAAGACCAGTATAGCTTCCCTATACTTTCACTATAAACGTTTAAAAAATAGGAACTCCAGGGTTTTGCCATCACTTGGTGACATTTTACAGTCCCAGGCAAAATCAGAATTGCCAGAGTACTGTCTTCCATCCTTGTTATATGAAAGAAAGATCTTCTGCAGATGTTTTAAAAATGCATAGGTGTTCATGTTTCAATATAATTTTAATTCCTGGATATGTTATTCTACAGGGATGCTATAGCTTGAAAGAGATAACCAGTAAGTCCTGGAAAGGGTCACAGCAACCTGGAGTTGATTAAAAGGAAATCAACTAGGCAAAAATGTTTTAATAAACTGTGAAATATTATGCACTTTTATCAATTCAAATCTCAATTGATTATCAATGCCAATGTCTGATATTATTTTAAGCTCCTTTTTTGCTGTAAGAAACACCTGTGGTGTCATAAAAGACAATTGAACTTTAAAGGTCTTTGTCATCTTATTTTGCTTCCTTGTTTTTTCATTGCTTCTAGGGATTTCGGAAGTTTGGGTTGTTATTCTCAGCATGCTGGTTGGAGCTGTTATGTATACTCTAGTCCTTGCCAGACTTACCTCACTAGTGACACATTCGGCGGCAAGTGAGAGAGTGTTTGATAGCAAGGTATGAAAATCATTTCTGATTGTAATACAGAGAAGTAAATAGTCTTATACAAGACGGTACTTTTGTTTCAAGTCATATTCAGATCAAACTCTAAAAATTAAATTGACAGGTAACATTTTTCAATACTGTTATTAACTGACATTTTGAAACTCCTGGAGATAATCATTCTCTCTTTTGGTTGTGTTCATAATACAACTGTTCTAATTGTAGCATAGAAAGTTTATGCTTTATCTGGGTTTTTATAATTAAAATATCAAGAACAATGTCATGTTCTTTTTGAAATAGTGTGACTCTCTCAGATTTAAAATTTTATGTGCAATTAGTTTAACATAACAATGATAAATAGGTAACTTAATAGATTGGAAATGACAGTGCTTTAAAAAGGCTTTGTCTGTTGGGTTTCTTTGGGTGAAATTCTAGATTATCCCATTAATTGTATTGCATATATATAGTGCAGTATATTTTAATTTGTCTTTTGATATTTTAAGTTATTTTACATCTTTTAAAAGTCTGTTTTTGATGGAATCTAGCCTGATGGATGAGTTGAGTTCCCTGTGATTCAGAGCTGTGCTGTTAATTTTACTGGATGTAATACTGAAGTATTGCTTATATAACATATACATCTTTAAAATATTTTTCTTTTGAAAAAGTTTTTAAAACCGTATAGCTGTTTTTTGTATGAAAACGGACAGTGAACAGTTCTCTGAAAAAAGAATACTGTAGCAGAGGAAGGAAACCTTGCCCAAAACCCCAATTCCATTCCATTGTGTTCCAGCATTTTGTCTTTGTTCCATTTAATGTTTAATTACACAGACGATCTTCAGCAGCAAGGTCACATTAGTAATTAAAGGTTCATTTAGTGCGTTCTCTTTCTATCTTGGTCCTTGAGGATTGGGGGAAAAAGGTGATTTACTGAATTGGAGTGGTTGGATTGAAGTCCTGAAATTACATAGGATGTAAATTACCAATGTGACTAAGTCTTAGCCTCTGCTCAGGTTTTTACAGTAGCACCATTTATTTTGCATAAAGATCAACAAAAATGAACATTGTCAGCTCATGTCTTAATACATTATACAGCACACATAATATAAACTAGAGGGCAGTATTTGTTTACTATTGAATCAGAACTGAATACTTATACATGTTAAACAGTACTTAATAACCCACATTTTTTAATGCAACATATTTTTTGTTTAAAAGGAAAATATATTTCTATCTCTGGGGGATATTGATAGGAGCAGATTTTCCATTAAGGCTATCATAATTAGTGGATGTATTTTAATAATGAAAGCCGTTTGCTATATTATTCAGTAACTTCTGAATAACGTTTTGTTGCTTTATTTAATAATGACACATTTTTTATGAGAGCCCTGTTTGTATATACAGTACAAATAAATGAGATATTGTATATGGCTAATAAAGTGATCTTATCTAAATGTAGTTTTGTTACATTTCTCTATGTTTTTAAAAGTAAATACATTCTTAAATAGATGTTCACATTTTGTCTTTTGGGATAGGAAATTAAATGCTTAGCACAGTGAAAGAAAACAGTTTTAAGTACCATAAGATGTTTGATTCGGTAGAGATATGTCAGCATTTTCTTCTTAAATGCGTATCTTCTTAAACTATATATGATCACCTGTTTAGCATGACAAATACAATGTGCTGAATTGTGTTGTGATCTCTTAACACAGTATAATGTTAACAAGGATCTTGGCATAGAATTTGATTTATTGTTAAAAATAATATTTTCCCTAGATTTCAAGTTTAAAATAATAGCAGATACTGTATATCATCATTGTTTGATTTCATCAGGTTGTCATTTCATCAGGGATTACCTTGTAATTTGTGCTCATATATACAGTATTTCCTCCTTCAAACTAACCCTTTCAGTCAAAAAGTACAGTATAAGATTCCACCACTGATGCAGGGAAACACATCAGAAATGATTCCTCACTTTAAAAATAAATGTACTGAAATTATTTTTTTATGCCTAGTACAATGAAGTTAAGGAGTACATGCGCCACCACCATTTACCAAGTAAACTCCGAAATCGGATAATGGATTATTTAGAAAACAGATATCAAGGAAAATGGTTTGATGAAGAGACTATTCTTAAGGAGCTCTCAGAACCTCTCAGACAGGTATAATGAGAAATGTAAAAAAGAACTATACTAACATTAAAAATAAAGCTTATTTATTTTTCTAATCATGTTTTAGCAGGATTAATGTTTCTGTAAGTACTCATTAATCCTAAAATTTTAAAAAATAATCACTACGTTAAAGATGTAGAGGTATCATCAAGAGTTCAATGAAGAACGGAAGATTTATTTATATACATTAAGTATGTATACATTGCTTTTCCTTAGCTCTTGGTTCAAGTTCATTACTCCTGTCTTGTTGGCTATAGTGTTAGCGATACCAATTTATCTCAGGTTAAAGGTAGTTTTTAACACAACATTGTGTATAATTTGAGATAGTGGTGTAATGTCTTGACGGAAATAAACAATACTGATTTTTTTTTAGTAGTTTTCTTCTCATTTATTTTCGTTCTTATCTTCTCTTTAACAGGAAATAGTCAGTTACAACTGCCAGAGCCTTGTGTCTAACATGCCGGTTTTTAAAGATGCGGACCCACATTTCATCACAGCCCTGCTTGAAGTGTTACAGTTTGAAATGTATGAAACTGGAGATGATATAATACGGAAGGGTGCTTTTGGAGACTGTATGTATTTCATTGACAGAGGTACAGTGCTGGTACAGGCTCCGAATCTTCAACAGAAACTGACAGATGGTGCTTTTTTTGGAGGTAATTCGAAGTTTTTGATTAATGCACCTTTGAAAGGTTTTTATGTAGTCAAACTCGTCAAAAGGCCAGGTGTAGCAGTTTCAATAAGAAGTGTTATAACCAGGATGTTCCTGGGTTTATTTCTGGCTCTTTATGATAGTGTGTGATAATCTGAGCGAATTTCTTATCCACCTTCTGCTCAGTTTTTGGAACAAGATGTAAAACTGAAATCTTGTTTCAGGTAACTCTGGCAACTCTACCTGATTAAGCATTTCACCCCCTGTCTCTTTACTAGGGAAAAGAGAATTTTAGCTCAATACATGGTATTTTAGACAGCTAAAAGTCAATTACTTTTCATTTTTATAAGGCAAACATCAATGCACAACTTTGAAAGAAAATATATACCGGCATATATTTTAGCAGTATGGACATAAGTGGTCATGTATGGTGAATACCATATTAGGCAGTCTTTAAATTTATTATTTTTTAAACATGAATGAGACTTTGTAAAATTATATGATTTTCTTTGCTTTTATGGTTTTGTTTGTTTGCAGTGGTTCTTACAAAGTCATTATTTCAATACATACAAAGACTTCTATGAAGATATGTTTATGGACTTTATCTGCTTTATAAGAATCAAAGTATAAGACTGCCATCTACTGAACATTTAAAGCTATTTTCAGAAATCATTTTAGACTAGTTGATCATTAAGAATGTTTTGCAGTTACTTGAAGCAGCATTTTAAAAACATGTCTTTATTTCTAAATCAGATATTTTAAGACATTTTTGTTAGCCTTCAAACATTTTTTAAAATACATTAATATTTTACCAAACCAGATTTTGAGGAAATTTTGTTGATATAGGTTTTATTTTTTTCTCTGATGTAAAATAATGTAATAAATTTGTACCAATTAATTAATACTGAAGACATACAGTGGCTATCAAAAGTATACCCCCCTCCCCCCACCATGGACTGTAGAATTTTGTTTTCACTTTTATAGAGTGCACTTTTATACACTGTTATAGAGTATTTTGTGTCAATCAATTGCAAAAAATCCAAATTACAGTAAAAACATTATGATTCTATATTGTAACACAATAAAATATGATGAAGTCCACAGGAGGTAAATACTTTCGATAGCCACTGTAAATTTATAAGAATGTATGAAAGTTTTCAATCGAGAGCTCATTTGGTTTAATGATTCAAGAATTCCAACAACCTGTTTTATTTAAACGGCATCTCTGGTGAGAAACAATGGTAGCTTGGGATCTGGTGCACCGAAAACTGGAGCTGAGCATAATATGCGCTTCAGGGTGTTGAAGACCTGCTGTCTTTTCTTCGTCTGTCGAACGCAATGCCTTTCCTGGTAAGAGATGGAGCCAAAGTCAGTCACAAAGAGGCAGTTGTAAGACGTCAGTCCAAGAAAGACCTTCAGCAGGCTCAATTTCAATTATATGAACCAGCTTTGCACTGCACTCACCCTGTTCTTGTCTGTGGCACCCCGTTTTCCACTTAAGTGATGACCCAGATATGAGATTTCCTACTGTAACAGGTGGCACTTCTCCAAGTGCAACTTGAGGCTAGAAGCTGATTCTTTCCAGGACCAGGGAGTGGACTTAAGGAACACTGTTGAAATAAAGGAAGATAGAGGAGTTAATTTGCCTTATGTACTGTACATGTGCAATGGGATTCTTATATGTGGCACTCTCTCAGGACATGCACAGTACAACAAGCAACACAGTACAACAGATACCACCAGATGCAGATGGAGTTGCACAATGTACAGTAGACAGCACAAAAATAGTAAATAATAAATAGTCACAGTACATTAGGAAAAGAACAAAAAATACCTGATGGCCAAGTCAGGGGCAGAGTGCAGAGGTGTGTTGGATTCTGAGGCACTGCATACTTAGCTGTTAAGGATGCACACTGCAATAGGGAAGAAGCTGTTCTTAAATCTAATAGTCCATGATGTAATGGTTTTGTACCGCTTGCCAGAGTGCAGGGGGAGACCAGTTTGTGGCTGGGATGCTTGGGATCCTGAATGATAGATTGAACTTTATTGAGATAGTGGATCCTGTTATCTGCTGTGCTGTTGCCACAACCCTTTGTAGAGCGTCTTTGTCATGTATAGTAGCATGGCATACCATACAGTGATGTCGCTAGTGAGGACACTTTCTATGGTGCTGCGGTAAAAGTTCACGAGTAGCTACTTCCCCATACCGCATTTCTTTCGCATGGCAGAAGGTGAAAGTGCTACAGTGGCTACAGTGTTCTGAGACCAAGCCAAGTTGGCAAAGATCTACAGTTTGAGGAATCTGAAGCAGCTGACAGTTTCCACTGTTGTGCCCTTGATGCTGGTTGGGGCGTGGCTCCCTCTGGGTCTCCTGAAGTCCACAATGAGTTCTTTTGTCTTGGTGACATTCAGGGCCAGATTGTTGTCAAGGCACCATCTTGTAACATGCTCAACCTCACATCTGTATACGGACTTGGATACTGATCAGCTTGATTACTGTGGTGTCATCATCAAATTAACAGTGGCTGTACAGTCATAAGTGAACAAGGAGTACAGCCTAGGGCTGAGACAGCAGCCTTGGGGAGCTCCAATGATTAGGATCACTGTGGAGGAGATATTGTTGCCAATTATCACCACCTGAGGTCTGCCCATTAGGAAATCCAGTATCCAGTTGCAGATGGAGTTGCTTGAGCCTAGACTCCTGTGTTTTGGGACCAGCTGGGTGGGAACAATTTTGGTAAAGGCCAAGCTGTAATCTATAAACAGCATCCTAATATAGGTGCCCTGCTTGTCTAAATGTTCTAGGGCAGTATGTAGTGTTAGAGATATGGCATCATCAACTGACCTATTTGAGTAGTAAGCAAACTGAAACGTGTCGAGAGAGTCTGGGATAGTGCAAATTATATATGACAATACTTGGGTTTTCACTAGTATTCCCTTGCACTTCATTACTGCTGAAGTGAGTGCCATTGGGTGGTAATCGTTCAAACAAGCTTCCATGGTTTCTTGGGCAGTGTCACAATTGTGGTTTTCTTGTAGCACCCTGGTACAACTGACAGGGACAGAGAGAGGTTAAAAAATATTTGTATATACAATAGATAACTGACCTGCACAGGTGCTAACATAAGGACACAAGGGGAGACACCATCTGGGCCAGGTGCTTTGTGGATTTTCACTCTCTTAAAGGCTGTACAAACTCATGTTTAGAGAGCTGTAACATGATGTCCTCTGGTTCACTGGGAACCTTGATAGTGGTCTGGTGTTCTGAACCTCTAAGAGTGAAAGATGTTCAGCTCATCTGTTAGAGATGCATCAGTGGATGCTATTGCCTTTATAGTTCTCCCTGAAGCTGTTTCTCCAGGTCCTACTTTGATTTGGTTATACAACTCTCTATGCCCTGATTGAAACGTAGCAGTCTACGCTTGAAGTTTGCAGGAAATGTCTTTGTTCATCCAGTGCTTCTGATTGGGGTATATCTGGATCTTCCTGGTAGGAATACATCTGTCTATTGTTATGCCGCGCCCATAGATGGAAATTAGGGCACAGCGAATTAATAATTGCCGGAGTGGGTTCAGCAGTAGAGATTTGATGGGTTATAGAATAGTTTATAAAGTAATGGGGGGAATTAGAATGGGAGGAGTCCTAGGGAATTCCGGAGAAGTCCTGGAAGGAATCCTGGGAAAGATCTGGGGGGTAATCCTTAGAAAAACCTGGAATAAACCTAAGAAAAGACTTGAAAAACCAGCAACTGCACTCACTAGTGTGACTCAATGTCTGAGCCCTGAGGAATGATCCCTCAGGGCTTAAATAGTCTGTGATGTTCCCTTAACTCCCTGATCTCGTTTGAGATGGTCCTGATGGCTCCTTCCATGTGAGGAATGTGGTACAGGTGCACTGGAGCTCGTCAGGGCATCAGTAATTGAGGTAGGATGTGACCACCTCTGTATACCCATTCAGATCACTGGAAGAATCTTTGAATATACACCAGCCATTTTAAAGACGTTTATGAGTTCCTGCTTGGCAGCGTTGGACCTGCACTGCATGGTCTTTACTGCAGGTGGCGTGCTCTTTAGTTTCTGTTTTAAACAGGAAGAAGGAGCACAGAGGCGTGGTCAGATTTTCTGAAATGGACGCATCAGTCCTTTAGAGTGACAATTTAGGTTTTGGTAGTCCAGGTAGAAACACTAGGTGCTGTCCTTTTTGGGGATGATCACAATGGATGACCTTCAAGGACAGCAAATATTTTGGAATTACTGAAGGAACTCGCAGAGATGCTCTCCTTGTTCACTTGTCAGGTGAAACACTTTTGTTGTAGCACAAATGTATTTGTACAATGAAGGAAATGGTGTTAAAAAACACTTTTGTTGTAGTAAACATTTGGAGAAATTAGCATCTATAGGGGTCAGTGGATATACTGCAGCTGTTCATTTACTGTTGCCTGTCATTGAATGAGATGCTCTAAAATATTTGTTTCAACAGAACAAAGATTTACCTAGTGAACAATAATCACAGCTATGATATTTTAAACTACAGTTAATAATACTAAAAATATCCCATATTCTGATGGTAATGAGTATGTTTTACTAAAGTGGCACACAATTTGCTAAATTGATTGCATTTTAAAAGGATTAATTTTGCTGTAAAATAAACACCAAAAACATAAGTGTTGCAAATACTATGTAATGGCTGTGCCTAGTATTTAGATTTTGTGTGGTATGTATGTTCTGATTGAAATACAGTACATTAAGATCATACCAGGTCTACCATAGCAAGTGAATTTGATACTTTCATCTGTTTTTATTAAATACCTTAAGACTATGATTAAGGCTAATATAGCAGAGTGTTTCCTTTTTGAAAGCCAGAGAAGAGCTATATATTAAGACAAACTAAAAACATACATGAATGCATCATTTTATAGCTCCGGAAAACAAAGGCATTTTAAATTTTATTTCTGCAAATGCTTGTTGAATTGACTTGTCTTTATGCCACTCTAATGCATTTTTG